CAATGGTGTTGGATTTTTGGCAGCATTACGCGGTCTTCTTCAAGTGATCAGACAGATGGGAAAACGATGTCCAATTGAGTTGAAATTTTACATGTAACTTTTTAACTCGTTGCTTCGATCTACTGAATATGAGTGGATTTGGACCGACGTTTGGTCGGGTTTTTGGCCAAATTAATAGCACCATATAAGGCTGTCAAGCAGCCCATTTTTTCAATTAAAAAGCCCATTTTGTGATTTCTTGGCAGCCTATATCTACTACAACCCAATTGAATAAAAGTAAAAGCCCATCGGTCTTATGAGGGTGCTGGAGACAAAAGACAAAAAAAAAAAAAAAAAAAAAAAACAGCTTTCGGCAAACAAAAAAAGGGGCATTGCACCGGTAGAAGAGAATCAAGAGATCTGAGATCATCGATGGAGTCGAAGGGAACCTAGTACTATTATTACCACATCCTTTAAATTGGTTATTTTAGTGTATGTTAACTAGAGTGTGTTTAGTCGTTATTTGTAATATTGGATGAAGAATAGAAAACTGAGTTGATTGTGAGTAATTTTGTGTAGGTTTAATTGTATTTTATAATTGGAATTTCTGCTTGAATTTCTAAGATGTTTTTGTGTTTTTATTTCATTAATTTAAATGCTTGAACGATATTAGGTAACAAATGGATTTTTTTGGATGTTTTTATCTTAATCTAAGTAATGGATTTTCAAAACAATCATTAACAAATGGTTTATATGGATGTTTTCGTTTCATTTTAAATAATAAATCTTCAAATATATATATATATATATATATATATATATATATATATATATATATATATATATATATATATAGAGAGAGAGAGAGGGGTAAGTTCAATTGAGAAAAAATAAAAGGTTGAGAATAGGGGAATCATTCTCAGCCAATCATTTTTATATATGTAAAACACATTTAGATTAAGTCATTAAAGACACGCTGTTTTTCTAAATCGTTCATTCGTTCTTCATCAACACCATCTGTTATTCATTCATCTGGATCGTTCCTCTGTTCTTCATCAACATCATATTTTCTCCATCAACATCATCTGTTCTTCATCAACGTCATCTGTTCTTCATCAAAAAAACATCAACGTCACCTGTTCATCATCAAAAAACATCGACACTTCATAAAACATCAATTCTTCATCAAAAAATTTCGTTATTTCATCAAAATGTTGTGATTAATCATCAAAAACATTTATTCGTACTATTAAGTGTAAGTCGTGATTCAATCTTGTCCAGTTTCGTTGATGTCAAGCAAAATCGATAAACATAATCCATATTTATCGATGTCACATCATTTTGCGATCATCAGTCATCGAAACTTCATCAATCAAACCTTCACCAATATCAAAAAACAGATAGCAATCGAAAGTGCATCAACATAACCATATATTTGAAGATTTTTTTAATATCGCTTTTCAGGCTTGAAAAACTTTGTTTTTCATAAAAAATTTCACAATTTTTTATCTAAACCTACTAATTATTGATCAATTTTGATAGGATTTGATTTGTGTTGTAGTTATTGGGTTAAATTGTTAATTTTTTACCATAATTATACAAGTTACTTTATTTGCACGCCAACTGTTCGATGAAATGCATAAACTAAATATATCACGTAATATTCACAAGTGAATATGCCTTTACACGAGAATCAATGTATGTCTTTTAAAAATACAGAGCAACTATGTAATTAATATGTGAATAACATATAAAAATTATTTTCACATGCGAATACATGTAATATTCACAAATGAATACAGGTAATATTCATAAATGATAATGTATTTTTTTCGAAAAAAAAAACATTGTTTTGAGGTCCTAAGCAAGTTTGTAATTCATATGTGAATAACATATAAGAATTATATCCGCATGTGAACATATGTAATATTCACAAATGAATATATATGTAATAATCAAATGTGAATTTATATGTATTATTCACAAAATGAATAAAACTGTCAATAAAACCGAGGACTACAAAATATATAAAATTAAAGATAAAAAAAAGTATTTGATAAGAATATATACTTATTCACATACAACTAATCTTTTTAGGTTAATAAAATAATTATATAAGCATATATATTTTTATTAATGTTATATTTATTTGTGAATAAATGATAACTTTTTTTTCGGAAAATTATAAAAATAGAAAAACGTCATTTTGAGGCCCTAGTCACTCCCAAATGGACGAAAAACACCGTACGTCACGGCGATGCTGTGAGTTTTGTAAATCGCACCATTTTACATCAAATATGCGAATTTCGTCCAATTCCGAGACTAAACTTCATTGCGGCAAATTGTTTTGATGATGTCACTAAATTTTCATTCCTACTAGTCATGATATCATCATGACATGCTATTTATTCATATATGAATAAAGTTTAGAAATCATTACGACATATTTACTGATGATGTTACTAACTTCAATCTCACTAGTAAAAACATCATTGTAATCTGTTATTTTTATTTATGTGAATAAACTATACATGTTGATTTATTTATTTTGTGAATACAACATTTATATATAAAAATAAATAATACACTATAAGAATTGGTTTGTGAATAGTTTTTTTTGTATATTGTAACAATATTATTTTACATGTAAAATCAACATTATACTAACACAAACAACATTGTATTGGTTAATGAATATCATTTACATTTGAATTTAACACGATCAAAATGAAGAATATATTAAATTGTATAACATTTACACGTGAATATAAAAACATATTGTCTTCGTCAATGATATCTTCTCAATTACGTCAACCAATCGTCAACCACCGGGATATGAACCAACCATTGATTGAAATGTTATTCTTTTATTGAGTTATAACGATACCTGAAAAACATGTGAATACACATAAAAAATGTTAAAAAAATACTTTTAGTTCATAATAATGGCGATTTATCACATTCTAATTATCACATGGTATATTCACACATGAATGTATAATCATATGTGAATATTATATGATATATGTTGTTTATATTGTATATTTACATGTGATATTACATGGTATATTCACAAATGAATATTACATAGTATATTCACATATGAATATTATATGGTAGATTCACATGTGAATATTATATGGTATATTTACTTGTGAATATTACACATTCTAGTCACATCTAAATATTGCATGTATATTCATTCATGAATATTACACAGCATATTCACATATGAATAATATATAGTATATACACTTGTGAATATGATACAGTATATTCATATTTAAATATTTAAACGATGCATTCACTTGTGAATATTACATAGTATTTTCACTTGTAAGTATTAGATGATATATTCACTTATGAATATTAGATGGTATATTCATAAGTGAATATTACACAGTTTATTCACATATGAATATTACACAGGATATTAACATATGAATATTACAAGGTATATTCACAAATATATATAATTTTTATATGTTATTCACATATGAATAACATATAAAATTGTATATTTGTTTTGTGTTTTAATAATCATATATTGATTAAGGTGCGAAAACATATTCATATGTGAATATAACGTGGTAATTTATTTTATGCATTTCATCAAACAGTTGGAGTGCATACAAGTAAGCTTTTTAAAAAAATGCTAAAAACATGATACTTTGACTATTTAAAACTTACAATATAGTAGATTGACAGATAATTATATGAAATTTTTCAAAAAAAAAATGATTTGATGTTTTTCTAACCTTAATTTCGAAGTTTTGTTTGATGATCGATGTTGAATGAATGATATGAAGTGAAACTGTTGTTGATTATCGATGATGTTGATTTAATGACACTGGGAGTATAATTAATCGTAGATGTTGAAGATATGCTCGTATTCAAGCATAATTGAAGGTTGGATTGAAAGAACCAAAAACGAATTTTTTTTTGTCTACTGTTGAATGATGTTGATGAACGTGTTTTTGACGAAGATGGATGATTGATTAACACTGGATGATGTTGATCGAATATTTAATTGAAGAAATATGGATGATCGTTGAAGGTTGGAGAAGAAATTTGGATGATGAACGATCGAGTAGTAATGAATTTAAATTGTTATCAAATTATCCACAGTTACGTATCTGTGATTGAAGGATATCATATCATATTTACAAGTTTGTCACCGTGTATTTTATGTTAAGATGTTAATTAAATGATTAGCTGAGAATGATTCCCCCATTCTAAACCTTTTTTTTTTCTCAATTGAACCCTCCTCTCTCTCTCTCTCTCTCTCTCTGTATATATATATATATATATATATATATATATATAGAGAGAGAGAGAGAGAGAGAGAGAGAGAGAGAGTGAGAGGAATGATCATTTGAGAACCTATAGTTTCCCGAGAACCCGAGAACTAAAGGTGGAACGTTAGATCAAAACTTTTAACGGCTTAGATCAAAAGTGGCATAATTGTAAATATCAATTGTTTAATGTTATATTAGACTTTTTAAAAATGATGAGAGGGGTATATTGGGCATAAAATATATAAAATCCTAATAATCAGTTTAATTAATTAATAAAACGTCATTTCTTTTATTTACTCCCAGACTTTATTTCTCTTTCTCTATATTTGTCTCTCTCACACACACCACACACACACATATACATTCTTCACCGCTCCGCCATCGGGAGGTGTCGCATCCGTCGGCGAAAACATTGACGAGAAACCGAGAAATCTCTCATTCATAGTCGATTTGATCAAGCGCAAGCATAATATCATGTACGATTCATATAATCTGTTAATTGTGCTTCTAATTATCGATCGTGTTAATCTGTGAATTGTTATTATTAATCCTTTATGAACGATATCACCATTGAATCATGTTATTGTTCTTCACTGTTAAAATTGTTATGATTGAACTCTGATTTGAAACACAATCTATTCGATTTAGCTCTCAATTTCAATGGTTAAATTCAATTGCATAGTCTCATCATTCACGTTTAGAAATCTCTTTCATTCCTTCCTGATGTCATCGTCTTGCCTTCTGATGTTGTCGCCTCATCCTCTATCGATCTCCTCATCAATCGATGTGAAGATCTGAACTCCAAAATCCTCCAACGATCGAGATTGATCTTGGTTATTAGGATACAAGATGTCTTCAACATTAATCTCTCTCTCTCTCTCTCTCTCTCTCTCTCTCTCTCTTTCTCGGCACTATTAAACCACCTACTCCTAATTAACGATGACTGTGAAATCTCACCGAGAATAGAAATAGCACATACAAACTTGAAGTAGATCGATTTTCATCGCGAATCAGGTACTTTCATCTAAATCCCTAGCAATTGGATTTTTTTTTTCTTTCTCACGCAGATGTTCAATCAATCAATTTTGGCTTTGAAATCAAACTTCGGATATTTACTCATTATTTTCTTCTGTCTTCCTTTCCCTTAAATAGGAGGATATTTGGGAACCAACTTTTGTTTCCTGTTGGGCTTGGCTACATATATCCAAAATGTGATAATATTATTATTATTAGGTGCATGGTCCTGGTGCTGATATCGATACACTCTGTGTTGGACCGAGGCATGTGTCGCGGGATGTAAGATCTACTCTGTCTCTACCCACTTTAGGCTCTTATAATCCTAATGTTCAGTTCAGTCAACTCACTCACTAATGCTTGTATAATAACAGGAAGATTTCTTTGGTAAGCTTAAAAAAATGCTCTCAGATATGCCTTATGTCACAGAATTGCATCATGTACCTGAGGCTCACGTTCCTATGATGAAATTCAAGTTGAATGGTGTATCTATATATCTTCTCTATGCAAAACTTTCACTTTGGGTCATACCTGAAGTAACTAAACTTTCCTATCTTTCTTTCATCTCCATCTGTTACTGAAAACTAGTTGGTTACTTTACTAATGAACTCCATTTTACAAGATTTGGATATTTCTCAGGATTCAATACTGCAGAATGCAGACGAACAGATGGTTCGGAGTCTTAATGGATGCAGAGTTACCAACCAGATCATGCGCTATATCCAAAATGTGATAATTTTTAGGTTAGTTAACTTATTTAAAAAAAAATTGGAAGCAGACATTTTGTTTAAAAATGTACGGATAATGTTTTCATAACTTCTCTAAATCTCATTTATGCTTGAATTCAATTGGTTTAATCTTATATTCTTATTTTTTTCTGATATTGAAGCCTGCTACAAGTGATTTTATTGTAAGGGATATTGGAAATTACAGCCCTAGGTACATGAGGTGCACCATTAATCAGGTGATACATGTTGTCTTAATGTCTTTCATTTTCATCTACTTTTCTTGTGAAATGTTTTAATGTAAGATTGATTTTGTTGTTGTTTGTTTAGATTCCTTGCACTTCAGATCTTTTAAACACATCTGGCATGCAATTGGCTTTATTGGTTCAGCCATTAGCTCTTCCACATCCATCCGAGGAGCCTATCCAAGTAAGACTGGAAATTGGAAAATACGTGTTTTCTTGAAATTATTGAAATTGAGATATAATAATTTCAATATATACTGAAAATGTGTGAATTATTTTTCCAGATAGTGGATTTTTTGTGAAGGTGGACCTGTTCGTTGTTCTCGTTGCAAAGGCTATATAAAGCTTTGACTTTAGGAGCATCAATTGTCATGATGGGGAGCTTTTTAGCAGGAAGTACTGAAGCTCCTGGAGCTTATACAAATCAGGTTGGTAACTTGCAATTTTAAATTTATTAAGAAAAAAGAAAACACTCGTATATAACTTACCAGATTAAGTCCTTTTTCTCATTTTGGTAAACTAGGGTGGTCAACGGGTTAAAAAATATCGAGGAATGGGATCTCTAGAAGCAATGACAAAAGGAAGTGATACAAGCAGATCTCAAATAACTTATTTAATTTATATGTACTAATTAATTAATACATATAAATTAAAATATCATGTCTTCATTTGATTTCTATACATCAAAAAACAGTATTCACAACTTATAAATCATGAGCACTCTTGTATTTATTTCTTTTCTTTCTCTGTCTCTGTTGTTGGTTTATGAGTATGCAGAAAGCAATTTTTCTGACTCCTTGGACATGCTTGAGGATAAAAGTTTAAAAATAGAAGATGATTCTGACTTGCCATCATGGTCAGGTGATGAACGTGGTGTCAGGGTTCGTGTGAATGTTGATAGCTTTGGTGTTGTTGGAGATGGAGTTTCTGATGACACAAAGGTGAATATAAATATATAGTATTTCTTGAATGTGTTGATGGAGTCATTAAGGGGATTCTTTTTATTTTCATGTATGTTACATAACAGGCCTTTGGAGATGCATGGAAGGAAGCATGTTTTACAGATTGCATTCACGAGAAGCAGTGCAATATATAATGATATATGCATGAGAACTCAACTGTAAAAATGGAAGAACAAGACTCGGAAGAATAACAAGGATCTCCATGTGGATATGAGTCAAAGTGTCATCCAACAACTCTTCTATCAGGTAAATCATAATTGATAATGGTTCATGTTCGAATTTTCTTGAATTTTTGTATTTGTCTGAATCATGGTGTGACGGTTATAAGTATATCACATGTCAATGAAAATCATAATGATCAACGGCCAATGAAATATATGTACACTTTTATATTGAACGCACACACACCGGATTATACCAAAAAATCTACCTCCTTACCAAAAAACTCACCTTTTTTTTTCGTTTAAAATTTTTTTATGCCACATTTTTTATCAAAAAAAAAAAAAAACCGAATATACCGTTGTTCTCGATTTTTCGTCCTCTTTCCATAGAGATCTATGTTGATATATAAAAAACAATTTTTTTTCGAAAAAAACTCACTTCATTTTGTTAGTTTTTTCAATATTTAAGTTTATTTTTATAAAAAAAACTAATTATACCAAAAATATTAAGTTTTTGTACTCTATTAATAAACATCAACACCGACTAAAAAAAAAACCTCGAACAGTGTAGATTCACACTGTGAATCTAAACTGTAAATATTTCAATTTTCAACATTCACAATGTGAAAAAGCTCGCTCAGTTCAGATTCACATTGTGAATCTGACTTACTATTATGCACACTGTGAATCTGACAAGGTTCAAAAAAAAAAAAAAAAAAACTCGATCAGTGTAGATTCACACTGTGAATCTAAACTGTAAGTATTTCAATTTTTAACATTCACAATGTGAAAAAGTTCGATCAGTTCAGATTCACACTGTGAATCTGACTTAGTATTATGCACACTGTGAATCTGAACAGTTTCACAATATGAATATGAACAGGTTCACAATGTGAATCTGAACTGAAATATCGTTTTTTTACATTAATATGAATCTATGTTTAAAAAGTACAAAAAATCATTATTTTGATATATTTATTAATTTTTTTCTATAAAAAATAGACATTAACTTTTCAACAAAGAAAATGAAGTTGTTTTTTTCGAAAAAAAAAATTCGTTTTTTATATATCATCATGGATCTCTTTGGAAAGAGGACGAAAAATCGTGAACAACGGTATATTTGGTTTTTTTTTTCGAAAAAAAACATGACCAAAAAAAAGTTTTAAACGAAAAAAATGAAGTGAATTTTGTTATAATCCGGTGCATGTGCGTCCATTGTAAAAGTCTATAACTCTTCATTTTGTCGTTGATCGCTTTAAATTTCGACGTTTTGGATTGGTTTATTGGTTCGTTGATTAATAATGGTTTTCTATTGATATATATATATATATATATATATATATATATATATATATATATATATATATATATAATCAATTCTTAATTACCTTAAAAATAGTAAAGTTTTTATATTTTAGATTTTTGTCGAATTTTTTTATCCTTTTTAACAGTTTTAGTTCCTAAAATAATAATTTTTTGTTTTTTTGCCTTTTTCCTCAACATTTGTTAACTTCCAACTACATGGCTGAGCCGCCTTTTCCATTTTTTTACCTCAATTTGCTTAGTCATCCATTTTTGTTCACATTTTTTTGTTTGTTTTGACAATTTCAGTCCCTAAAATAATAAATTTTCTTTTTTGCCTTGTTGCCCAACATTTTACAAAACAACAAATAACTAGCAAAAAAAAAAACAAATCATCGATCATAAAACTTGCATGCTACAGTTTCCCGACATATTAAACTGTTTCAAACCTGTAACGTAGTGCGGGGATTTTTACTAGTTAGTATCAAAACAATATATATATATATATATATATATATATAATCAAAACGGTAAGATAACCATGAATTGGTTCAAAAAAATCAATTTACAACATTTTAAAAGTTACCCTACCTCCCTTTTTTCTTTCACTAATACCTTAAGAATTTTCATATAAACCCTTTTAGTTTCATCATTCACTTTTATTTTAATCTTATTTAATTTATATTTTACTTTAGTTCCCTATTACACTTAACTATAAATTCGAATATAATATTAAAATTGGTTATTGACATAAAAGTTCTTAACTTTTTCAATTTTTATCGGTTTTATCCCTACAATGATTTTTAGATGCGTTAATGTCTAATATTTTGGAAAACTTGTTCAAATTTTCCCTTTAACCTCTTACAACATGTCACATATGTGTTGATTGAGTCTTCATGTTGACGTTGATGTGGCTGCCATGTCGGCGTTACTTCTTACTAAAAAGAAACATTATATGCACAAAAATATGTAGATGAGGAATCGAACCCACGACCTCATACACTCAATGTAGTCGACTTACCACCGAGCCGGTTATAAAATTGTGAATATATTGCTGACAAATAGCTTATATATTAGAAAAATGCAAGAATAAGAAGAAAAGGGGTTGGAGTGTTTCAAACTTGTGATCTTCAATTCTAATAGAGAGTCTTAACCACTAAGCTAAACTAATTTATATGTCTTAAAACCTAACTTATTATATAAAATATGTATTATTCTACAAAAATTGAATATTATTATTATTATTATTATTATTATTATTATTATACATTTAAATACATTTTTATGCATATAAAAACGTATTATTAATTTATGAATATATATATATATATATATATATATATATATATATATATTAAGTATAGAAAACATATTTGTATGTTTAAAATCATATCTATATCTTTAAAATTGGATAAAGACGCTTCATAAATGTATAAATAAGTTTGTAAAGATATATAAACATACGAATATAAAAATATATGTGTACATATTTATATGCATTTTTATGTATTTATATATTTTAAAAATGTATTCATATGTTATCATATATATATATATATATATATATATATATATATATACTTTTTAAACATATTTATATGTATTTATATATTTTATACACACGTTTCTAAATACATTTGAGATAAATACGATTATATATTTATATATTTAATTTGAAAAATGTATTATATTTAAATAATAAATATGTTTTATACATTTTTCTTATAAATATAAGTAACATTTTTATGCGTATAACGTTTATATTTGAAAAAGTACATATTCAAATACACATATAATTTATACGCTTTTTGTACATTTTAATGTATAATGTTTTTGTACATTTTTTATATATATTTATATGTATAAAAAGATATTCATACATCTACGTCTTTAAAGTGTATAAATAAATTTTTAAATACAATAATAACAATAATAAATGCATGTAATAACAATAATAAATATGTCTTCATACAATTCTAAAAGTATAAATATGATTTATATATGCCTTTTATAAGTATAAAAATGTATGTATAAATTCATAATAATAATAATAATAATAATAATAAATACATATTATTTAATTCTTCCAGCATAATACACATTAAATATATTAAGTTAGGTATTAAAACTACAAAAATGGTCTTTGTGGTATGTAATACCCGTTTTTCATAACAGGTATTGTTTCAAGGGCTACTGCTTGCTTAGGAGACAAGTAGGAGAAATAAAGTATAGAGTTTGCTTTAAGTCGTTTACAGAAGGTGTATTGATGTTAAGTTGTGAAGTGAAAGGATAAAATGATAAATTATAAGTAGATTGCTATTGTTGGAAAGTCATGATGTGATTGTGTAGATGGTTTAGCGTGATGGTCAAAGTCGTGGTCAGATGAAGTCAAAGACCAGGTAGCGGTGCGAGTGTTTGTTATCACGACGCGACGGGGTATCCGATGTTGGACACGTGTTGATAGGAGGAGACAGGTGTCAAGTGAGTGAGACACGTGGCAACGGGAGACGACACGTGGTAGATGACCGAGATGTGTGGCGTTAGTTACGGTGCGACGACCTTGTGCTTACGGTGCGATTTCTTAGAATTTTGGTGTATATAAACAGGATCTTGTGTTCATTTTGAGGGTTTGAACACATATAGATCAGAGAGAGAAAGAAAGAGCTAGAAGGAAATGGTTCGTGGGGTGATGTTCGGAGAGTCGGTGCTAGAACACGAGGGTGCGAGTCATCGACCGGGCTGAGGTATCCTGATGTTCTATAATTATGTTTTCGTTTTTTACGGCATAATTGTGATGGGTCGTTGGAACCCAAGTTAGTTGTTAGAAGTCATAATACAGTGCTATTATGAAATTTTTTGTAAATCTAATAAGTGAGTTCTACCGACTGTTGATATGGGTTATAAGCCCTATCTTGTGGAATTGCTATAAATATGAAATTTAGCTAATAACTTAAAGGATTAAGTTATTTAGGAGTTGTATTGTAAAGTTGATTATTTGGTGACAAATAGTCATGGAGTTTAGCTCGTAGTAAGTTGTGACATGTTCTGAGGAATTTGTTGTTTGTTGAATAGGTGTTAGTATATGGAAAACTAAGAGGCAGTGGTAGCTAGAGACCGAAGCAGGAGTTAGCCCTACTAAATAACCATGTGAATAACTCTATTTTAACATCGGTTGTTGTTGATGTGTTTTGTTGCACAATATGTGGATTAAGTATATTGTGATATATATATATATATATATATATATATATATATATATATATATATATAAATTGAGGATGATATGTTGTAGTCTGGTGAAATAAATAGCAGGTGATAATTAACGGTGTTGACTTGGATGGAGTATATTCAAAGGAGTGCATAATGGTAGTGATGATTTTTTTTATTAGCCCTAACGGTGTTATAAAACAATAACCAGTTGATATGTTTTAATTAATATATTTGATATGGTGTTTATTTGTTGATAATAAGTTGTTTTAATATCTAATGATGTATGTTGTTATGTTATTGTAGTAGTTATTCATTAAGCTTTATAGCTTATAGTGTTTATGTTGATGTTGTGTTGCAGGTTATGTTGATTGTAGTGTCTGCTCATGTGACAACTGGCAAATTTTGGGTCAAGCAAGGTCTAAAATGTATCTATGTATAAGTAAAACCACATCATAACTTTG